ATCCAGAAGAACTTATGGGTATGGATATACCTATCTATGGAAAGCAGCAAGTCTGGAGACCTTCTTCTCATCCAGCCTAACTGAAGGGCTTAATAAATTTGTTTGAAATTATTCTGCAAACCAGCAGATTTTTTGAGATTAGAAAATAGCCAAGAAATCCCCAATTTAGTTGAATCTAATGTAAGTAATTTCAAATTAGTTAAGGATTTCTTTACTTGCTTAGTGGTTATTTCCCAGTACTGATGTGAAGGTTATTACTAAAATACATGGGCCAGCTACTCCTCCTACAGGTCAACACACTGAGATCTTCATTGGTAAGGAAATGGTTCTGGTGTTTCAGAAGTGGCATATTTTTTTTTCAATGCCCCAGCCTGATTACAGGCACCAAATTATTCCTGGAGGCAAAGCAGCATTTTCTGCTACCCCTTGCCAAAGAGAGGAAACCATGATCTGAATTGTCTGTATTCATTAAAGGTCCTCTAACACATTTCATAACAGTAGGTTCTTTAACCCCAAGGCTTTGGCCAAATTCCAACTCAATTACTGTCTACCTGAATATTCTCCCATTAAATTAGGATTGATGGATTTGTCTCCTCCCTTAAATTGGTGAGCAGCCATGGCTGCAAAGAGCTTTCTAGGCTTCATCTTCAAACAGGCTGATTTCAGGGTTAGGTTAGGAACATCAGTACACTCACGTGACCCAGGACTATACACCAAAATTAGTACTTGTTAACGTTTCAAAAGGACATTATTAATTAATATATCAATTAATGTGAAAAGCACAACTCCACGCTGTATCAAGAAAACAAACCAGAAAAGGTCACATGCAATAAACTTGCTGAGAAATCCACTGGCAAATGGAGTGAGTGGATGCAAGTGAAGGCCGAAGATCTAACTGCAGATGGACATTGTTTCAGATCCATCCCTGGGATAAAAAACAATATTCCTAGTTTTGGTAGAAGGCAGAAACGTTTGTCATCCAGTGGTTATATGGACTATAAATTCATTGAATCACTTTACAGCTTTTGTTCTTTGATGGCAGCATATGCTGGGGATGCTTAATTTGGTTTGTCCAGAATGACAATGAACAGTTGAAGTGCATGTCTGCCTACTGAGAAAGCTTTCAGTAAAATGTTCTGCATAATTAGAGAGGGTGGGATATGCACTCAGAGAACAATTCCTTGAAATATTTCTGGCAATGAAAGGTTTGCCTAAGGGTGGATTACCCCATTCCATGGAAAAGCCAAGAAGGGAGCAGTGCAGCAGGTCTGTGAGGTGTGCAGTGGTTTGGATCTTTACAGGTTGTCTGGAAACGCCTGCTTCTGATTTACCTTCAGTAATTGCTCACTCTCAGCTTCCTAGTGGTGCTGATGCTCCAACATGATCCCACTCTTCTTCCCAAAAGGCTCCCTGGGGTCCAAGCACCAGCAGCAGCGATCCTGCTCTCGTGTCAGATGGCAAGAACAATTTAGGACCTTGCAGGGGGTCCTGCTGTGAGACAAATATTCTCAGGGTGGAAGATGAGGGAAAAAAAAGAGCGAATGTTGTTGGAGGCTTAGGAGAACCCCCAAAATAACATCAACCATATTGAAAGGACAGAATGTTAAAATATGACATTGCTATACATTTTCTAATTAATTTTTTAAAAGAATGAATACAAGAAACAAGTAGCAATTTCTGTCCCATCAAAATGACTCTATGGTGTTCCAAATGCATTTAACTCCACTTCTGCCTGTACCTATGGATTTAACTTTCAACAACTTTTACAAGGTTTTTTCAAAATAAGATGAGAAGCGTTTGGTTATATTCCAATAGACAACAACAGTCAGCAGAGTAAAATGCCTCCATGCTCAGAACAGCTTCCTCAGGTAGTGATTGCCACATCGTATTTAGCTGAGATAAGCAAAGATTGCTGGGAAGGACAGCTCAGCTCCAGCTGTGCACTTCCACCCCCCTCCCTGCACTGGCACTCATTTGGGTCCCAATTCAGTCACATTGGGGAACTGATCTCACTGAAAACTAAGTCTTTTTAGGTTTTATCCTGATCCTTCAGTGACTCTTGCTGATAGTAAGCATAACTGAAAGACTGCAGAACTAAGGTATTCAGCAAATGTATTTGGCATGTTTAAGCATAAGCAGAAAACCATTCTTCTGGATATAATACCATGGGCTGCAATTTCCATATAGTAATGCTTTACAAAGTACTTCATGCTATCTTTCAAAGATGTGCATCAGCTTCACTGATTAATTTACTAGTATGACAGGTCATTTACTGCCTGGATATATCAATGACATGGAAGACAACAGGAATTTTAGCGATGAGACTAAGAATGGCAGTGCTGTGGGTGACAGCACTTTTTATTTGCTGGCGAGCCCCATGTGAAGACGTTCAGTTAAAAACCCAGATGAGGAGACACAGAACGGCTCCATCAGAGGTGTCTGCCTGGCTGCACGGTGACAGATGGCGAAGGCTGCATGGTTAATGCCATTTCTCAGCCTACTGGCCTGGCTTGTGCTCCCAAGTGCTTTATACGGTCTCAGGAAACTGCAGCAAGCGTGTGTGATTGTTTGCCACTGAGGCTTACTAAGATCTAGCTACATATTCATGACCTTTAGCCTAGCTGACTGATTTGGAGCTTTATCAAACAGCTGATTATGTGGCTTTTCCTTTTCCTGCCTACTTTTTAAATATAAATATGAATGAATTCTTCATTCTGTATCTCCCTGATTTCCTAAGAATGCCAGACATTTTCTGGTTAAGGCATTAATTAGCAAAGGCTTGTGTGACTGATGTTTTAGACTATTGGTACTTTAGGTCTCTGCAGATGAAAATGGTGTGGTATCATTGGAAATGTGTATTTATCTCTAACAGCAAACAGAGTACAAATCTGGTCTCCTTTGGCATGTTTAGGCCTGTTCCTTTTCTGAACTGTTGAACTACTGCAACAAGAACTGATATCACAGGATCTAACTTTAGATTTGATTACTATAATCTCTTACACCTACACTCATTACATTTCTAAAGTTCAGTCGGTCTAGTATTCTGAATTTCTGTTTGCAGTTAACCTTTAATTGCAAACAGTGGGCCACAGCTGATTGGACTCTCTTCATCACAGTTCTTGGAACCAGGACTTTCTCAGACAGGAATGGAAGATGAAGTTTTCTTACTTCACACTAGCAATATTAAAAGCAGAATATAATTTTTGCATTATGCAATGAAATAATATGAAAGGCTATGAGGGGAAATTTTATTCTGCTTCTAAAATATACATATTAGTTCAACATGATCTTGCACAATTTGACAAGAGGATTTTCATTATTAATAAGATGAAATGTAAGGCTTCTAATTAAGCAGAAAACAAACCAGTGTAAACTACTCTCAGAACACACAAACCTATTAGGTTTTAAATATAATAATAAATCATTTATCTAAAACCCAGCTGACTTGTTGCATGATGTTACTTGATGAGGTTTTATTTAATTTCTGCAATTTTTCTTCCTTCTGTACTTACTATTCTTATGCCAAAACAACAGTAAGTTTGGTTCTTGAATCCCTATGCTGAAATGCTACTCAATACAATTATCAGGTAACAAAATGCCTTAGCAAGAGTCTCATTCATTTGGGAGGGCTAATTTACAAGTAAAATGAAATGTCTAATATGAATAGAAAACTAAATTAGAATTGCATTGTTGGACTGTACAAACAAAAATACTGGAAAAAAAAAAGTACAAATTTTATCTAAAAAATGCTAAATAGCCCTTGCCCACAGCAACCTTCAGAACCAAGTAAGTAGTGATTTCCAAAGGATTTTAAATACTATCTAATGTGGAATTTGCCACATGAAGACAATTACTCAGAGAAAACCTTTGACAGGTAAAGTAGTATCTGCCTAAAAGTGATGTAACTTGGCTCTACCTGTCTGAAGCAATTACTGTTTCATAACAAACTAATTACCAACTATGAGCATTACACACAATTCTGCTCAGTTACTTGTATGAAACATGGGTGACTGCAAGGTACCACACATGCAGCTGAAGCTGCATAGTGACTCTTTTTTCTGTGATCTTTGAGTAGAAAATGGCTGCTCATAATTGGTGACCAACCATCAAAAGATTCTGTGTCACTTATTCTGCCATGTTTTCATAGCTTCACAAATCCTCATTTGAAAGTGAATATTTTTCATATTATCATCTGTTAACAGATCTTATATAATCTTGAGGCAGACACTCCTGGGTTACTGTTTTTTTTCTGACAGACAAGGATACCAAAGGTCTTGGGACATCTTCTAGAGAATATGATCACAAGTGCTCTGTTCAAAGTTTCTCAAACACCAAATATCTACTGTCTGCATATGGAATGCCACATTATTTTTAACTGTACAGCCTTTGGAAAAAGCTAGCCTTAACAGCAGCAAATACCATTTTATCTTATTTGCAGGAGTTCTAGGATTTGCACAGATGGTGATGGTCCAGAGAGTCAGGATCATATGGCAAAGAAATGCACCCCTCTCTCCATTTTCATGTGATAAAAGTCACTGGGCTATGTTCCTTTCATCTGCAGAAATGGGAAGAAACAATAAAAGCTTTTTATACTAAGTGTTCCCACATTTAGGATAGGAAAAAATTCTTTAATTGTTCTAACAATTATCTTTTCACGCATGCTAGTAGGTATTAAAACATATCTATATACTCAGACACCTCCTAAAGATGAGCTGCCATGAAAGCCCAGAAATCTATTTTTTCTAATAGGTTTCACAAAAATCATCAGAGGAGAGTACAGAAGATCTAAGTTGTGTTACAGTAAAATTATCATTGTTACTTGTGGCAAGTGTTTTTTCATGTTTAAATCAAACCTCAATTATTTCATCCTACTTATTCTTTAGAAAGTAGAAGTTAAGCATAAATATGCTAAATGAGATCTTTTCTGAGAAATGCATGTGGGACAAAGAAGCAAAGAACAACAGATGACCCAGAAGGAAACTGTATAAAGTCAAACAGAATGATCACCTGAGTGTGTCTTTATTTGCCAGTATACACATCGTATTTGTTAGAACATTGTCACACTGGTTAATTTAAAGTTCTCTAAGCAGAAGGTTCATGACATCAACAAAGACTGTAGGGGACAGAAAGGGAGTCAGGGAAACTTAGGAAATTTGTAAACAGAGCCAAAATGTGTGTGAGGGCTAGGATTACCAAGATTTTTTTTCTTTAATGCAGACAGCGGTTCCAAAGGTTGACCAAACGTTACTATCTTCTGAACAGTGAAGTCTGTTTTTGTTTACAAGGTAATGAAATCCAAAGGAAAGTGACAACAAAAGGTTTTAAAAGTGAGTTTTCCTTTTTTTTTTTTTAAATACTTTCCAGCAATTAAATTCACATGCAAAAAGCTGATTTCACGTACAGAAAATACTTTGAATATCCAAAGTCGTCAAACTGACAAAAATACATTTCACAGAGATAAACAAAATACAAATCCACAGCTGCAAAGTTTCAGATATGCAAAATGACTATTTTAATGTTGTGATAGATCCAAGGTGTGAAAATATACTACAGCATGTTTCAATCAAACTAACATGGGATTGAAGTTACCTGTGCTGTACAGGTAAATACAACTAAAACCAGCTGGTGGCATTCTGGCTCTCCCCAGAACAGGAATGGGATGCGTTTGCTGAAAGTCCAGGGTTTTTTTACAGAAAGAGAACTGACAACATTAAACTGATCTTGCACACTGGAAACCCTCAAGATTAATACACAGTAGCACAAAAATGATAAAAGTAGTTTTTTGCTAGGTAATAAGAAAGAAACCAAAACAACAAGTATCTGACAACACTCAACTGGAGATACTGTAGATACAGTGTGACACTTAATTATAAATCCCTCTGGGGACTCAGAGTCTGACACACCACGTGCAGATCTGCACATTCATCGCCAGAGCTCCTGACTTCACCTGATGTGGACTGAAACCATGAAACGTATGTCTTCATCTGCATTATAATGACAGTTTCAAACAAAGTTCTCAGGCTTTAATAAGCTGCATAAACAGCTGCAAACAGTCATTTGCTCTAATTATGTTGCTGTCAAAATGTTAAAAAAAAAAAAGGAATTTTTTTAGGGGAATTTTAATTACTGCTTATTCAATTTTAAAAAGGAACAAAAAAGAAAAGCAGCTCAAGGAATACTGAAAATCTGTGCGAATCAGTCACAGGTATTAGTTAAGGGCACCAAGGTTCTGTACAGAAATGAATATATGAAAACAAAAATAAATTCAAGAAAGGAAATGAGCACTGATGCTTCACCTCTAAAACATTTAGCAAAAATGCCTTTTTTTGTGCATATAATTAGGAGCATGATTGATAACACAACTGCAATGTACCCATTTTCTACAGTCTTTGACTGATATATAAAAATAATCCCATGACGTCTGAGACAAACAGGACTTGCAAATATAATTTATTCCCATTGAAACTGTGCTTGGTGTCTTAGATGTTTAAGGCTACACATGCAGTGAAATTTAAGGAATTTTAGGTTGAAACAGTAGTTGAAACCTGTGTTATATTACAGAAGTTGTACAATGAAGGGACACTGGTAGGAAAGGTACATATGATGCAGCATCAGCCTGTTCCTACGAGACCAGCATACACCAGATAATTATTGTACAACATCAGGACTTCAGACACAGGAAAGCCAAATCTGTTCTTAAAGCAGCACACTTGAGATATAGGTAGAGCATGGTAAACCAAGCTAATCCAACAGCACTTACTGACTGATATTTTTGTTTGTGATAGGATTTTGATTAAAATGCACCAAGAAACACAACCCAAACACTTTGCTACTGATACAACAATGCACATCCAGCCAGAAAAGAGGTATTTGGAATTCTCAGCTGGGAGTCACATTTATAGAAGCCTATATTATATTTCTTAACAGAGACCCATCATCTAACTTTTGTCTTTAAGTAATTGCAAGTCCAAACATTATTTGTCCAAATAATTAGAAACAGGTTTGGTTCTTTGGTTAACACCATGTGACTTACATCAGACACAGGAATCAATTAAGAATAAACAGCCATATGGGGAAGTTTTTTGGACGAGGGGTGGGGGAGAGGAAGGAAAGGAGAAAACTTGGAATTCAGAGAAATGTATTGTGTTAAACTGAACTGCCCTTTGAAACCTCCTGGACTAGGAATAATCAGTTTAAGACATCTCTTCGGTTGCAGTGACATTGCTTACACACCATTACTTCAGTTTCTCTACATATTAAGTTTCATACAAAAGAAGGAAGGCACCGAGTGCATCGGTGACGTACAGGCAGTATAAAAGTATGCAAGAAAATGCTACATACTGTATATTTCAGACCTTTTAGAAATGTGGTGAATGTGTGCTATCTCTATGCAATATAATGCTTCACAAATCCAACTCCTTATATCCCAATGAAAGAATGAATTAAAATGTGAAACACATTTTAATAATCTTGCTGGTAACAGCACAATTCAATATTTGTATTCACTAAGATCAGTTATTAGCTTATAGTCACCAGAAAAACAAGTTCAAAATCACTGAAGATCAAGGGAACTATAATCTAAAACTACATTTTGGGACAGAGCCAGCAGCCTTTACTCATGACAGATGTTCCACTAAGAATGGAGAGGAGGCTCAGTTTTACCACTGTTATTCATGTTAATAGTGCCTTTCTCTGAGACATCCCCAGGAATAGATGGAAGTGCTTACAGGGAAAGGTCCTACACAGCATGAAAGACATCTGGTTAAACCAGGACCTGAGTAAAAGGCAGAAGGTTCAGGCCCTTAGTCATTATATCAGCACTTTTGATTGCGTTAACAGTGATATAGCTTGCTCATAGAGCATTTAATTTCACATTGTTAAATCATCTTATATAAAAATAGGTAAGAAAGCTCTGTAAGAAAGTATATATACTATATAAGGAGAAACCTCTCCTTAAAAAAAGCAAATAAAGGGAAAATTGAATAAAATGCTTCACTAATTACACTTTGTCATGAAAATCACATTAAAAACATTTATCATAAACGAAACAGTACTGAGCACTAATGAACCTGGTGGTTTACTGGAAAGGACAGCAAACTAGCTGTATAGTAAAAAAAGATCATTGCTCTATCTCCTTTTTTTGTAAATATTCCCTAATACATTCAGCTGCTTAGAAATTTTCTTAAAATGTCATAATAAGCCATTTGCAAAATCGACCATCAAAACTGGTTCAAAGCCCTGCTCCTTGCTTGTACTATGGCCTAGAGATTACATCTCAAAGCTATGATAATATGCTTCTAGTTCATTCTGCAAATCCATTCAAATTCACACTCTGGAAATGGACCAAAAGTTAAAAAGCAATCCACTTTAGACCCTCAGCATGCAGTCAGTGTCCACAGGGTTTGCAAAACACAGAAAAAATTATATTGATACAATGGGCAAGACTCTTGTTCTCAGATACAAGAGAGAAAAGGATGACATTAATTACATCCCTGAATGTCCATGAGGTATTCCTTCAGTGGTATGGTATTACTGCTTCTGCTCTCCTGAGTATGGCCTTTATGCCAGCTCGGCCAGTAGATGCTTCCAAGGAAATGAATTAATCCTTCTTGCTATGAGACAGCTGTGCCCTTTGTCTGGGAAGAGCTGTCTCCTGATCTTCATTCCTACAGGAGCAGTTCCAGTCACTTTCCTGACTCCTGGCCCATTCCTTAGCATAAGGACCATGTATCTATATCAATCCAGCATAAGCCTGAACAGCAAAACCCGATCCTGCATGTAGCAGGCCCATCCATTACTTCAGTCACACCACATAAGAACTAAGCTTGCCAGCACTAATAATTGTGCCATATTCAGGTAGACATAATATAAGCAGATACTCGTGCATAAGATTTCTGCATAGTCTGCAGAAAGGAAGAAACCCTGCTTGAATTTAAGGAGGGGCAGTGATAAGTTCTTAAGGCTAAACTAATCCATGTCACTGTAGGACAGTTGGCACTTGCCCTACTCACCCAAGGCAAATAAAAAACCACCTACCCTCTGTAAAATACACTGGTTTAGAAGCCACACAATGTCCACAGAGACCAGCACTGCTCTGAATGCATGAACTCCACAACTCACATGTCACAGTTTGTCTGAGCAGGGCCCTTCAAGGGCCACAGGGTTCCAAGAGAGGAATATACGTCACTGTTGCTACTACTGTAAGAAGCCACCTCTTATTTTAATGCCCTTGCTCTCAGATGACATCTCTTCAATGGGTGGTGGTGATTCACTGACAAGGAAATGCTCCTGTGACTCTTCCCTCAAGAACTACTATCAGGACAAAGTAGTCTGAAATCTACTACAAAATGTACTACAAAATCTAGCAGTTGAATTAGAGACCAAAAAACCAGAACATTCTTGATGGCTCCTTCTAACAATAAACATTGCTGAATGTTCCAGTTAAAATGATCAAGATGTTTAGGGACTGCTTTAACATTTTTAATAATAAGTTTTAAAAATATTTCAACAGCTGAGGAAAAGAAGAAACAAAAATAAGAGATAATGATTAAATAACAAGTTTGTGACAGTATCTGGATGTTTGTTTTTTTGCCTCCATTCATAATTGAAATCATACTTGACTGTGTTGCAGGTGCCAGGCTGTACCACCCCTCTACCCTCCCAATCCTATTGCTCTTCACACCTTCAGGTGCTCTCCTCTTGAAGCCCATGGGTTCCTCTCACTACCATTAAAGGCAGGCAGGCATGCACATCAGTGGGAAAATTAAAAGGATGTTTAACTGTTATTGAGAATTCAGCTTCAGAAGGAAGTCAGTCTGCCTTACAAACAAGTGAGAAGCCAGGATTTTAAAGACTGCTATAAACAGCTAAGCTTTTTTTTCCTCCAGAAAAGTGTTGTAAGTAGAGGGCTCAATACAACTCTGAGTTCAGCAAAAAGGCATTCTGTTTTAGTTTCAAGCTAGAACAGCTCAGGCCAAAAGGCCTCCCCTCAAACCTCATTCTCTGATCTTACCCCACACTTTTTGTTAGAATTGGGATGTGTAAGAGTGATCTGTACTCAATACCTACATGAAAATGTCTCCCTCAATGAAGTTTTCTTCTTCTGGTTCACTATATTAAAACTGATGGTTTGCATTTCAGAAATCTTTGTGAGTTGGAGAGGTGACAGAAATTTTGCACCAGTACCTTAAAGTACAGAGTATCCCTTACCTCTATGGTCCAGTGACTGCCACAGGTAGCTTTTCAGGGCCATTGGGAGTTTGCAGGAGTGTGCCATTGGGGAGAAAAGAGAATAAATCAAGAACACAAACACAAATTTTAGACAACAAAAGAATTGCTCCAAAAATGTGAAAATGGGAAGGTACTGATGCTGACACTGCATCTGCCATCAAAATTCATTGTAAAAATTTACAGGCAAAAATATTTCCAACAGTAAATGCCATATAATCTTGTTTTCAGCTCAAGTATTTTCCAAATTGATAACAATGTTTAGCTCCCACAAAAGCACATATGTTCATTCCAAAGACTGTCCAAATTTCCAAATCTAATTATTAATGAGTTTGGTGGACTTCCATTTAATTTAGAAATGGTGTCATATTTCTCCCATAGTAGAGCTTACCCCTTGCCTTGCTTCTGACTTGCTTTGCAGTCAGACCTCACACTGCAGCTACAGTGTGGCCATCTCACATCCTGAGCACGAGGCAGTAGCACAGAGACCAAGCTTTGCATCTTTCCAGGGCTCCCCTGGCTCCCTGTGCCCCTGGCTGAGCAGGAGCAGCAGGATGGCTCTGCTGCCCTCCTGCTCCACAGGGTGTGGGAGACAGCGATGTCCTGCAGGCACTGCACAACCTCTCCTCCTTCGGTGCACTCATTCCACGCTTGCCTGTCCTGCCCTTCACAGCCTTGCCCTTAACAGAAAGGAACTGTCCAACTTTTTCACATTTATACTACTTTAGGAGGACCTATGTGAAATGTTGTAAGCACTAAACCAAACAGATCATATATAGAAAGGATGCAATACTTCCCAGAATAGAATCTGTAGGAACGTCACTGTTCTACAATTATTTAAGGCTACACTGACAGGAAACAGATTCAATTCAAGATCTGCGATTTCTACATGGTTTGCTGGCACATAGAAAAGTAACTAATTTGATACATTTTTTCAAGTACTTACTGTACTTTTGAACAAAGGCAAACAACAAAAAGCTATGAAAAAAACACAGTCAGCTCCGGGAAATATACAAGTGCCTCTAATTTGTTACTGATACTTAGTTCTTCAGCAATTCTGTTCCATGCTTAAGACCTAACTGAATGGACAAAACCACACTATGTGTGCAAGCCCTTATGTAGGGTTTAAAAAACCCACAACAGATGAAGGCAGATTTCAAATACAAAGGTGTAGCTTTGCATAAGCAATGAAAAACAAAATTACAAATCAAATCATAAGAATAGGTTCTAGGAAGAAAAAAACAACATGACAACTATTGGTACTACAATTAACTCACAAAAATCCCAAGTGAATCCAATTATTGATGTGATCGGTTTTGCACAGCAAATCCATGCTCTACTGTGTCAAAATTAAACATTCATTTCCATTCTTTAAACATTCTGTTTCTAGCCTCTGTTCAGTATACATCCAAGTAAACCAATCCTTCTTCTGTGAAGCACAGACTGGTCCCAGATACTTTAGAAAAAGTCCTAGAGAGACATTCCTCTTCCCAAATGAGCCCACCGCAGAGCACCATAAATCTCTGTTGTGCCTCAATTAAGATTTCAGTGCCTTGGAAATCTAAATGGTAAAATGCAAAGCTGAAGCAATGCAACCTACAAACAGAAACCCAAATCATGACACAGTTTTGTTTAGTTTGGTTCTGTAGGAGGTTATTTGCTGCACCTTCCAAACTGACTTCTTCATTTGTTCTGTGATGATATCAAGTATGTTCTCCACTGGAATTACCTGTGGATATTGACCCAGTTCTTGCTGTTCAATATTGTACATTATTTTAAATAAAAAAAGCTGTACAAAGAGACAACCATCAAGAGACAATTTTCAGTTTTAGGAAAGAGCATCTAAATATCCACAAACAGAATAGATAAAACCACTTCAACATCCAGTGAAAAACTGCTTCACAACAGCTTCTACGTCATTGCTTCTATTATATGGAAAGCTGAAAAGATTGTGAAAATTTGAGCATTTTCCTTATGCATATTAAATTAATGCTGATTTTGTATTAAATTCTACACTCAACATTACATTTCTCTAACTGGACTAACAAAAGTGACTGAGAGAGACAACCTGCATTGTATTACTGCAAGACCATTCCTGTTAAAAAAGAAAGTTTTTGCATTATTTGTATTTAGTAAATAAAGCTTCTGTAAATGAAGCAGCAGTGCAATATCAGGAAGAAAAAACCCCAAAAACCAAAGGTCTGTAATAATGTTTAAATCTTCAAATCAACAAAAACTGAAAGCCTGGCTCTGCAAATAAATCACTCTAACGACACGAAATAAACCAAGATGTCGAATTATAAAATCCTTTAAAAAGGACTTAATGAAATTGTTAAATAGTGAGAGAGTTTGAGAACCACGTGAAATATCTTTATTACAGCATACGCACCATCCCCAGTCTCGTTGTACTTGACTGTCTGTATACCCCAAAGCCAAGATTGTTCAAAGGTATTATAAAGGAATTCAAGAGGAACAAATCTGTCTTAATGAGAACACTTGAGACTAACACCAATAGTCTCAACAAAATCCAACACTTACTCTGCAACCCACCAAGTGCTAGAACAGTGAATGAGGTCTCATATTAGTAAGACATCACTTCCATTTATAAGAAAAAAGAAATTGCTTGTTTTCTTTACAGGAACAATTAAAAATAAACAAAACTTGTAATTATAAGCAGAAAGAATATTTAAATTGGGAAGCTTTTTAAAAAGACATTTATTCAGTAATGCATATTTTTAGTAATATTAATTAGATTCAGCTGTCAATAAATTAGTGTGAGTCCAGCTAAAGGCTTTGGGACAAATAGGAACCTCAGAAGCACTGGTATTTCCCCAGTTTTGGTGGATGCCATGAGTGTTTATCTGGTGATAGTGCAGCTTCACAACTGCATCATTAGAAAGCTGTGTTTCCCAACCTGAACATAAGCAAATCAAACTTCTATTTTGTGTGAACATTCATTCAGTTGCTGGCAAATCACTAGAAAAATAACTTACTGATGTTCTCTTCTTCAAGAAGAAAGGTAAAAACCCCTGGTCTGTTCTCTACTTCCAACAAACAGCATATGGTAATGCCTAAAACAGCTCACAAGAGACCTGAATGGATACCTGTTTCAAGCAAAGCCATAGTATTTTGCACTCATTCGTAGTAGTTCAACTGCTGCTACTTCCTTCACAGTCTTCCAACCTAACTTACAACTGCTGACATTTTAAACAAACCTGTATCAATTTGTTTAATGAAAATATATTTTAGTAAAGTCGTGCTCTATGAGCTTCCTACATTGGAATACATGAATAGAGGAAGTGCTTTCAACAGAAAGTTACATAGTTTTACAGTACAACCTGTCTAAGGAGTTTTGGAAGGGACCAAACTGATGATCTGGTCTCTTTGGATTAGGCAGAAGTACAGGCAAGAGGGAAAACCCCATTTTTTGCCATATATCGAGCTTGTTCCTGTCACAGATTGAAGAAACATTAGTTTGATGTCAAAGCTCACCTGATGCCCAAATGCCAGTATTTTTCAAACCAACTGCATATCAAAAAGTGAAAACCTACTTTACCAAGCTCCTGGAAAGAAACTCAGTGCAAAACAACAGTATATTTCTATTTGCTATATTATTAAGTGTTCTTTCACCAGTGTTTTTTCTTTTTTTTGCTTTTGCTTTACAGACCATTAACTTTTTCTCAAAGTGCAAACTATTGACCTTTAATCTGAATGCAGGCAGGTCAGAAGCTACAGTATTAAAGCAATACAAAAGGTACACAAGGAGGAGTTTACATTAATTTGGAGAACCTCTCACAAAATGTTTCTGAATTGAAAACCACAAAACAAACCCAAACAAATACACTGTCAGGTGGATGGGGAAGGGATCGCTATCGTATCTGTGTTCAGCAAAGATCCTCTGACACCAAGGAAGTTCATGACACCAAGTGAAGATTCTATATTAAATCCCACCATTTTGCAGGTTGTGCATCCTTTACGATGGAATGTTGACCGCAATTTCCACTTTTTACTCCCACAGCGAATCTGCTGATGTGACCAGGGATGATCATCTTCCAGGAGAACAAGCTCCCTTAGAACCACGGCTGCACTTTCTACCATCCATTACGATTCCAGTAAAGTATGCCATCTACACACTTGCTGTCCTTTAGATTCCTTCATTTCAGTCCAGTGGTTGAGTTCATCTTCTCCTGAGCTGTTGAGACCTAAGGAAATCCAGCCTATCATCTCTTTCCGCTTCATGCTGCGCTTATTGTACACGGAGAGGATGAGCGTCACGTCCGAGAGCTGGAACAGAGCCACCTGGAAGACGAAGGTTTCCTTGTACACGGGGTTCGGCTGCCCTCGGCGGATCGAAGTTTTGCATTTGGACATCTCCTGCCCCATGGAGTTCAGCAGTGTTAACTTAACATATGTATCTACAAAAGAAGTCACATCGTGGAACGTCAGATACCTTGGAACCAAAGATTTGGAGAATGAGGTTTTTATAGAGAGCAAGGATATGGTGTATACCAGGATGGCTGTAGACAGCTCAGTTGAGACACATGGAGAGGTGACAAGTAAACAAAATATTACAAACACACTAAGAAATGAACTAGCTCCAGCACTATGTACATGTGTTAAGTTAAAGGTATACCTCATAATCCTCTTCCCATTGACCCCCCCTTGTTTAGTCTAAAAAAACTTAAATTGCATTAACACTTAGCAAGCTCCAACTAGCGACAACACTGTAAGCATACCACTGAAATTTCAAAGAATATGGATAAACAAAGTGGAATAAAGGCAATTAATGAAGAGGCGAAAAAAAATTATGTCAAAATGCAGCGATGATATCAAAACAGCCAGGATAAAATGCTTGAGAATAATCTCTGCATGGATGTGGTTCTCATTTTGGGCTTTTCAGTTTTATTTATTTTGAAAACCAAAATGTAGCAAAGTGCATTCAAAGATGGCAGTTTACACAATACAAAAAACCCTATTATTTCCGAGATTCATGAAGGAATACATTTACTACATGTTTAAAGAAAAGCAAGTTTTTGCATAATTCAAGATGATTGTTCAAAAAGTAGCTTGTATGGTGCTTTTAAGCATACATTTGAGAAGCTGATGGAAGTAATGTAGTTATCACACATTTATGTTAACATTTGGGTATAAACCCTTGTTTTTAAATGTCAACTTTCATTGGACTAAAAGCACCAAACCATGCTCCTGCAGAAGGATGTACATTTCATGAAGTTAACTAATTATAGGAAATATAAAACTGTATAAAACAATCTAGTATTTAATTTTCGTTCCTATCTTTTCATATTAATGGATAATATCAATTAAAAGTTGGAGTTTATGTTAAATAACACATTGAGTATTTTCACTTTGCAGGTACACTGAAACCCCAACATCCATAATCAGAGATAAATGCAACTTTTGCATTAGAGAGTGCCACAAAAAATAAACATATACTTTTATAAACTGGTATGGTAGGCAGCTGTGGATATTTTACTGCTGGCAGGTTTCTTTTGCATGAAAAAGACAACATCCAATTAGTTTCTACAGGAACTCACCTCGGATTATATAAACCTGTCCACCTATCAAGTGTTTTAGACAACAGAACAGTCCGTCTGACAACAGGGGGTGGAAAGCAGTAAAAGAAATAATGACCAGATGTCAATAGTTGGGTGAGAGAGGATAAAAGGTTAAAGTTTAAGAGGAAACACTATTCACTGGAGTGGAAGAACATGAAACCTTAACAGCATAGATCAGAAAAAGGACTGAACAAAAGGATTGTTAGGTAAAATTTAATGAAATAGAAATTTTGTGCAGTTTTGGTGTAATCTTTAAGAAAAATTACATGGCTTACATAATGGGTTATCTCAGGACTAACAGACACTGGATTCTAAGCCACACTTACCATAGCAAGAATCCTGCAAATGATTAAGTTATAGCAGATTGGGTAAAATATCACAATATCCTTGTTAAACCTTATGCTTTTTCATGCAAACTCCAGCATATTTAGAAAAACTGCACATTAAAGTAAGTCAACTTCATATATTAAAAAGCAATAAAATGAAAAATAATTGAACTGAAAACCAAGCTGGTTTTGCCCTTAGCTTTTCTAGTTACTGCTATTTGATTGTAATACTTCAGTTATTGAGTAGTGATGAACTTGGGCAGAAGAATGACTCTGATGTAATCTCTAAAAAGAGCTGAGGGATACTTATATCTGAAATTCAGCAATGGGTGTCTATTTAGGATGTAAAGATCTTGCTTATTAAAATCCACATATTTATGGATTTAATGTGTGTGTGCATGCATACACACACATGCATTTAATATGCAAAAGCTCATACCCTGTTTCAACTAAACCTTAAGAAAAACTGAGAAGCATCTTTTTCTCAGGCAAAATATTAACTGTCACACAGAGAAACAAAGAAGACACATCCACAGTTACTGTCTGCAGGATTTGGCCCATTTGCCTGTACTCAATTGCTAAATGAGTTATCATGTAATATAAATATGCAGTAGAGGAGCATGTACTAGCAAGAAGTACAAATTTAGTATTTAGTTCATATTTGCTGCAGAAGTACTTCACAAAAATTCGTAAGTTCCCAAGCCCTAGACTACAGAAATGTGGGAAAGAGTAATTGCTTCCATTTCTATCACAGTACCTCAATACATGAATGAAAACTGGACTGTTCATATACTTTGCAGCACTTCTCAGGATTCTGGACCACTGATAGTCCAAACAACAAATGTGACCAGGACATTTCATCATCATCAACATCATCATCATCCTCCTCATCCCTACGGGCCTTAGTTTTCCTTTTGTGGAAATTGATTGAGGCTGGCAGATGTCCATCATGTATTCAACAAGGAGTTAGGATATAGCAGTGGCATGGACCTGGGTCCAGAAGTTTAAAAGGTGCCACAACTGCTGGGGGCAGGGGAGGGGGATGGCACAAAACAGCTCAAAGGGGAAATCTGGATTCCACAATATTCTGTGTATGGTTTTATCAGACCCAGAAAGTTCATCAGTTTCCAGCTGTCTAGAAACAGCAGAACTCTGAACCCACATTTGCCCTTACAGAATTGGACTATTGTTATTACGAATATCAAATCTTCCCCCTATCCTTCACAGGGACAAAAGGTAGCATGGAAGCTCTTCCCTCCAAAAAGGTTAGACAGGACATGGTTTTACAGGGCTACGTGCCATGTTCTATACTCCTTTCTTGCAATCTGAAACAGATTTTTGACCCCAGAGACACTCACCACTGTTAACTACACAGCATGGGCTCACTGAGCACATTTTGGGAATTAACATACTGGGGAATGAGCATCTCTGTTTTTAAAACAAGTACTGAACCGCTCCTACCTTGCATATTCTAAATATTAAATAAAAACTGGCCATCTCTGAGATTCCAGAAAGATAAGCATCTGGTTTTGCTTTAAGGGAACACATGATCTCTTCTCCCCCTTTAATTTCTTCCCATACCCTAGTGTCCTTGGACCTCTTTGGCTTTCCCCATCTGTTTCTATACTTTGTCTCCAAACAGCTACCCAGCTATGTAAAAGGATTAGAGATTCATCTGTTGCCTCCCTTCTCTGGCCATGTTAACAAAGTCTGGCTCTGTCAGCATGAAAAGTATAGAGAAGGCAAAGCAGAGTAAGGTGAGCCAACTGTGAATAGAATAAACATGGGTCAAGAAAATGAGAGAGGAGAGAACATCAGTATCAACTCTGGCTTACTTCCTAAAATCTGAAGACAAGGTGAGATGTGCAAACCACTTACAAAATGTTGGCAGCTTAGTACATAATCCAGTAGTAGATAATCTGCTAGTGCCATACTAATCTGGGGTTTAAAACCAGAAAGAGTAGCTAAAACCTGAGCCTCCTGACAAAATCAAAAGGAACAGGTGGGTATTTCTTATTAACACTTATGTAAATCAGACACACCATCTTACAAACAATAAAAATCATTGAAAAAAAAGAAAAAAGAAAAATACGTTTGTTATTGAACTTTCTCAAGCTATACCAAAGAGCTAGAGCCAACAATAACATTCTCTCCCTGTGACATTCCATCTGGCTCCACTTAAGAAGTATATAAAGTTCACAGATATTTCACACGTGTATTTTTGAACAAATGCTTGAAGACACAATTAAAATCCTTTCTGATGCTGAACATTCCTCCTGTACAGTAAATATGCCAAAGGCCTCAAGTGGTTGCTCCTTGTCTTTACTGACATTCCCAAATTACATATATTACCACATATATACGGGCACATAGGCAATTAAAGACTGCAGTATCAACCCCTCCAGGGACAGCAATAACTGTTCAGAATGTTTATATTAATATTAACTGGCATGTACTTTCTCTTTAAACACTGACTTTTTTTATTCTTGGCCTGTGATGTGAGGCATTAGTAATTTAGCAATTAATCATTATGATAAAGGTAATTTATTAGTCAGTCATCATGAAAAATTAAAACAGGCTTGTCAACTTACAAATAATATTTTGAATTTTAGATTTTTGCTATTTCCCAACTGACTAGAAATACAAAACATGAAACAGATTAGTTGATGATTGCTCTATTTCATTTTGATTGGGTAAGACTAAGTGATGAGATTGAAGTCCTTGCTACTGAGAGCCCCACCAGTACAGAAGCATTAGGATGAAAAAAAGATTTTGACTCACTGGGTGGTCTGTTCGCTGCCAAGTTTTTGAAGTGGCTGCCTTTTATCACTTCTGCTGATAATCTTCCAGTTGTAGCATTATAAAGGAGGCCAATGAGGATTTCTGGAGCTGAGCCATGTACCAGTGACTGACAAGAGGAGGTACTTTCACTGCAGGACACTTCTGACATGCTCATTTGAGAGTCACAACCCTATAAAACAGATTAAAAGTTCTGTGTGTCTTTTAGAACAAGGTTACTGGGAAGTCAATTTTTACAATAATGCATAGAAAATTCTGAAAGCAACTTAGTCACAACAACAAGTTTCATTCAATCACCCTATAAGAAATGTACATTCTTAGTATATACTTAATTTGCACGTGTTAGAGGTAATAATAAGGTGGTCTGAAATTAAAACAATTATTAGGTGCTTCACGATTAAGGAGAAATAACACCAGAAGATGAAGAACAGCTTTATAATCCCTATTTACTTCAATTTCTAAGGCAAGACATGTAACATAATTTGTCAGCATCCTGGAAAATATTAAAACTTGGATCTTTTACTTTCCAAAAAATGGGGAACACCAGTGGAACCTTGAAGATAATAAACTGCAGAAAATTCTTATTCATCCTTTGTAAAGGTTATTCTATAGCCTGAGAATTTATGAGTAGCAAAATAACAGAATACATGCAATTAGAAAAATGCACTCTGTCTAGGAAAAATTAGCTTACAAGGAATTTAACTGGATCCAGGGACACAGAACTGCAATAGTCCCATTGTCTTGGGTGGGAAAAGAAGAATGCCATCCAAATCTCAGGAAGCTATGCTTTGATTTCCACCCTGAAACTTTCAAAAATTTAGATCTTTGATGCATTCTCACTACATCACATCTTTAATGCAAGCTTCTGTTACTAACTTTTATCATTTAAACTCCACATTATTGGCCTTAAAAAAAGGAAAAAAATACACTTTCTTTACACTGCCATGCTAATCACACCATGGCTGTTTCTATGTTTATTTGCACTGGCACATAAGAGTGGTACCACAGAAAACAAAAAACTGGATGCCAAGTAGCCAATGGAATGGCAATGTATTTGGTAACTGAGGAGAGACTTTTGAATTATCAGCACATCCCTTTATGATTCTCTCAGTAAAAAATGTAAACTGGGTCCACAGATTTTTCAAATATGGTTTGACTTATTTGGGAACCTGGCAGAAATCTTCCAAAGAGTCATGATGATATTGTGAAGCTGATTCTTCCACATTCCAAACATGGAAGTCTCTATCATTTCCAGCAACAGCTGACATGGGCATAAGATCACACCTAAAACCTAAATAGCACAAATCCTCATCAAGATAAATGTTAACTTTATAAGCAAGTAATTTCAGCTGACATATAAAGCTCACATGCATTATAGAAACTCAAATTATAGAAGACGTGATACCTACAATAACATCCCTTTTATTGACATTTTAACTGTTCTTTTCAACAAAACATTTCCCAAAAGTCTAGTAGAAGTTTTAAGTAGCAATCCAGTTCCTCATTATTAAACATTCACTGTTGTTAGCAAATATATTCTTACTACTGAAGTTGTTGTTAGCAAATGTATTCTTACTACTGAAGTAGGACCTCAACAAATTTCTCTGACTTCCCTCTCCCAAGCTGCAAATTAAATCTTTGGTTATTTCTCCAACAGCTCTCTATTCAACGGCAAGAATAAATTTCAAACTGCTTGCAAATTGTTAATTGCTGAAAATGAATTACAAGTATACATTCATTCTCTGATTCTTGTCATTCATAGAACAGGAAAATTTTGATTCCTAACTTCAACAGAAGGAACAAAATGGAAAGTTTAAAAGAAAGATGACTTCATTCACTTAATTCACAGTATACACTGCACACTTGAAAGCCTCTCAGCCTGTCACAACAGCAGCTATTACTTAAGCTTTCTGTCTGGCCTTTTAAAATTTAAAATTCTAACACATTATCCCCATGGTGCTTGTTCACCCTTTTTTTTTTTTTTTTTTTTTTTTTTTGAGCCAGGAATTTTAGCACAGTCCACCTGACACTGTTCAAAACTCAGGTGTCAAATTTGATCGAGATCACGCTGCAAGCTTACAAAAAAAAAGATGTAACACAAAGAAGGCAGCTGAGTAACACTGTCCCCATATCCTCCAAGGGCTTTGAAATGCTGAGAGAAGGTGATGATAGCACCTTCTCCTAATTGGATTTATTTGTACAGTTTACTGATGTCCTAAGAGAGACTTAGAAACCAGTTTATGACAGAGTCAAACTCACTACACTGGGTATCAGAGTAAGGTTTAGCCTGTTAAAAACAGTGAATAGTAAATGAGGGACTACTGAGTGGAAATGAGTCCTTAAGTACCAGGAAAGAGAAGACAAGTAGCTTCTGTGTGGTATAATAGAGAAGGAGGAAAATAACTGAAAAATCCAATATGTGGTATTCCAAAGTTACATATGCATGGGCTAGAAATATCATTCCTTTACAGCAGAATCCGGAGTAGACAGGAGAAGGACAAGACTGCCTTTTTCAAGGCCAAGCAAAAAGATCTCACCATCTGAATGGTGGGTTGAAAAGACCACAGTGATGCTTCAGAACTCTAAGTGGATGGAAATGCAACTAAATGACTGTACCTTAGAAGTGTTGCACAGAAAGAACTGGTAGATATAAGCTAAATGAAAATCTGGAGAGAGCATCTAACTTAAATATTCTGCTACAATATTTTCTAAACCTAATTATTTTTGCAGGTTTGAGAAAAACAAATGAATGTTGTTTAATCCTTATTTTATAATAAACTAAGATCTCCTTCCTACAAAACAGTGGGGACATAGACAAGACATTGAAATAAAGCAATCAAATCCACTAAAGGAAAAATCTAAACAGCATTTAGTTTTCCTTTTCACTCTAAAATAACCAAACCTTCAATTCATTTTGTTTCATGCTGACCCAAATGGATTTTAAAAATACTCTGCTTTTTGGTTATGAACTGGAAAATCCTAGTACAAGAGAAAGTGAAATGTTAAGAAGGAAAATTAAGCGGATTAGAAGACAGAATGATTTTACTGGGTAAAAAAAAAAATTAAACAACATTAACGAAAGTATACTTTCTGTGGCTATAACAAAGATGAAAACAGAGGATTTAGGGACAAGTATGTAAAAGACCTGAGGAAAAGGGGAGAGCAAGATTGCATTTTGTCAGTTTTCTTTTAAAAGAAAACAAAAATTTTATAAGGAAGAGAAGAAACCAGAATCAGGAATCGCATGAGACAGTTGAGATCAACTGGGCTCAGATCAACAACTAAAGAAAGACTTTCCATTGCAGGACAAAGTTAAAAGCAGAGATACTGAGTACTATTAGATGTCTTCTCAAAAGTATTTTCTCCAGCACAGAGTTTATTGTTCACATTGTGAAAATCCAGTCATTGTTTTAGGAAGATATTCCATGATAATGATATCCGTGGGTAAGTAACCTTTGTGCTAAGTCATATGCTGCACTAGAAGTGGAAATAACAGCTTCATTGAAGTTTCTGTTTAGAGGGTTTTTTTTCTGTTTACACAACTCAGAATTCTAGAAGAGCACTAACAAACTCATCAAGAAAAAAGACAGAAAAGAAGTTACACTTTTACCTGCTCAAAATATAACACTCAAAATCAAGTGCCAAACTGTAAAATATTAACACTGAAATTGCTCATTGGTACAACACGAATATAGATGGACCTCCAACGACAACAGTGCAACCAGATGCTTTTCACCTCCATGCAGGTCTGCATTCAATCTGTCTGTAAAGCTATCTGTAATGCACTTTGGTACTGCTGCTTCCCTGTGGGAAACTTAAGAGTCAAGGCAAAAGTTACTATTTGTTTGAAATTATGTCTATGTAAGTTTATTTCCATAAAGCTTCCCTCTCATCCTCTATAAACACTGAATGTAATTTAACAAGCAAGGAAAGAAGGACTAAGGTTCCATAAGAGCAAAGGCTTTTCAAGGTCAGTGAAGAACCAGAAGAGCCTAGTGAGAACTGTCACAAAACCTTGTATGTGAATTTTTAAGAACTTGGATGAACCGTCAAAGTGTTACTGATCTGCCCACAGCGCAAGAAACTGTCTCTTGAGGTTGTCTCCAAGATATTAATACTAAATCCTGAATTCTTTTTGTCAATTTAGCCATAAATTAACAGTGGGCACTGCAAAAGGAAAAAAAAAAAGGTGAAGTCTATTACAAATATTTGGTTCATATATCTGCAGTATATAAAAAATGTTCAGCTTTTGATTTGTCTAACACAAAGCTGTGTGCAAAGGACCTAAACTTTTCCTACACCACAGGATAGTACTTTGTAATAAAGTTAGTCTGATTTTATTTGATCAACACTAACAGGAATTGCTGCTTTCCACTGGATTGTAAAAGTAGTATGTGTCATATTCTACAAAAACTTAATTACTAATTCTCCAAACTATTGTCCTTGATGATTTCTTGCATATATTATCTGGGGAAGAGACATTACTTCTTAACAAATATATAATAAAAAACATTTCCATTAAGCAGGCTTTGTATTTCCTATGTTCCCATTATACAAAAGTTGGCAATCAAAAAAAGAACACTCTTTTTTGCCCCTCATACCAATGGACATGAACACATAGAATGCCCCTGAGAAGCATTTTCAAAAGCGTTTTTCCTCCCCTCTTACAACATAGAGAATCATTTATTTGCATCCATGGTAATATATGTAAAATGCATTTATTTGTCTTCCTTCCCCACAATTCCATGGAAACGCCATATTTGTTGCTTACATATTCATTTCCTACTGTTATTTTTCTATACCCTGAAGTTCTGCTTAGAAATTCTGCTCTCAAGCCAACTGGAATTAATGACAGGGAATAACATAGCCATGCTCTTAAGGCTGTTAAAAGTTCATTTTCATCAATGCACAGGTTACAATTATATCTCTGTAGGCTTACAAAACAAGAGCATCTGATTCTTTTGGCTTTTCAAAAAATACACAGAAGAGATGAAACCTTGCTGACAATCTTCAGCAACAAAAATCTGATTCACAGCATGTTACTTGTCAAAATGTCTCTCTCCAATTTTAAATGTTAATGTTATACCACTAATCTCTTAAAGAAATTTTTTGCACATTATTTTTTCTACTTCTAGATCAATACAACTGCGAGGTTAGGGAAGAAAATGTGAA